GCAGGAATGGCATCACCAACAAAGGTTTGATTGGAGCTGGCCTGCATTACCTCTTTTATTTTTGTAAAACAACTTTAGGTAGAACACAAACCCTTTATAAGGCGGTTCCTTCATATAAATTTATTTAATGCATGAATTTTTGTGTAAAATCTGCAGGCATCTGAGCTGGGGACTGACTCTCTGACAGCTACCTCAGGCGTGGACTGACACCCCGGGCTGAGCTGAAATGAGGCTCCTGGGCCCATGGGCAGGGGTCAGGGGAAGCCCCATGGTCAAGTTCACAAAGGCCTGATAGTGCCTTTGGGCCCTGAAAAATACTTACAGGGCACTTACTTTCAGGATCTCATTTTAATAAGAATTACTTTTAATGGATAGCTTTATGGATAACAAAATATATTAGATTGTTGTTTATACTCATTAGAATAAACAATACTAGATTTTTAGGTTATAACCTGAAAAAAATAGAGTGTCTATTCATTTTCTTTTCTGATGTTTGAGGCGCATAGTTAATACTGCCCAAGTAGCCATTGGCAGAGCAAAACTTTCTTCTTACACTTGACCTCCACACTTGAAGAAATAATCATTGCCTTTTTTTAGGACAGCTGACAGCCAACAGTGGGACCACAGCTCAGAAAACGGAGAGATTTCCCATCATTTACTTTGTTTTTTAAAAAATCTTTGATCTGAAGTGCATGTGTGGGATAGGGAGGGGAGAGGAAGAGGAAAGGACAGTATTAATTCCAGAGAGCACAAGCCGAGTAGGATAACAAATTTGAAATAAATCATATAACCAAACCATAACAGGAAAATCTTTGATAGTTTGCGCATTGTATAGAGGCAGTGCGCTCTCCCCAAAGCACAGTACCCTTTCATTAGTGTTCCTGGAAAGCTCAGGCAAGAGATTTCCCTAATTTCTTAGAATGTCAGATCTAAATTGCTAAACATATTCATTTTCTACTCCATTATCCCATTACACCACAAAAAACCCCCACCCAAACTCCACCCCCAAAACTCACACACAAAAAAAAACCCAAAAAATGAAATAAACAAATAAACCCCCAAAACCCTCTTCTAAGGAAACAGCAGAACTACGGCAATTTGAGAAGAAAGTGAGATAGAAATACATAGATCTGGACACTGCTCATGCCTTTAAATGAATATGTATTGGGATGGATATGAAAACTGCTTCTCTTTGAGCAAGTTTTACTTGCAGCTTCAGTTTGCTGAAGATGCTTCTTATATCTCTCAAAAATATTTTCAGAACCATACACTAAAATGTCACAACAAAGCTTGTATCCTTATTCCTTAATTCTGTATCATTATAAAGTAGTCCTGGCTGGATAATGCGTAATTTCTTCTTTTTCAGTTGTTCTTGGGAGTCTTATTTTCCACCATCTCATGTGATATAGTGAACTACAGAGAGTTACTCAAATCTCAGGACAATTGGTTATTTTACACTGATGAAAACATTGTGTTTACGTACTTCATGAAGAGTAAAACTTATGGCTTGCATGGTAACGAATAGAAGGAATTTGGAAATTAATTATATATTCAAGTCTTGAGCATTATAAATCTTGGCTTGCAATCCTGGTCTCATCTAACATGAAGAGGTTGTACATATGGTCGTTCCGGCTTAAGAGTACACTTACACTGAAGCTACCAGCAGCATAGGCTGAAGCTAACATCAAAATATAGCAAATAAATATTTAAGCCTAAGTAGTTCTGGAGAATTAGCTCCAATGAATTCCAGTTTCCTGTTGACCTGTGTCTTACCATTGGTCAACTTAAGTATTTAAGATAACTTCTTGTGTGTGCCAAGAAGGGCTTATAATATTTTTCTTTCATCTAATGTCAAGCAAAGTGTCACTTCCATGTGCAGTCTTTCCATCATCAAGGCACTTTGTAACAGTCTATCTCCTTCATCAGGCTGCCTATTTTCATGACATTTGAGGAAGAAAAAATATCTTTGGGACCTCTAGCCTCTAATTCACATGTGGCTGAAATCAGAGAGCACACATACACAAGCCTTATGAGCCTTGTTTCCAAAGGAAATCGCCCTAACAAGATACTCTTCTGCCTTTTGTTTTACAAGAAGTGATCTCATTGTAATCAAAACGGATGTCCTATAAAAGACATTGGGAGCTTTTTCCATTCAAATGAAAGATAAACAATTAACACTACCCAGTATCAGAAGAGTAAACAAGTGGTGGTGAGTGATATACCAGAGTGACCCCAAAGAAGGCATTATGTCCCTCTTAAAGCAGTAATGTGTTTCTTTTGGAAGGCAGGCAGGATTTTCCTATCATACCATGGATTGCTGCACCCATTCTCCTGCTACCATTTAGTGTATTTCTGATCTTAAACTTACCAGGTTCCTCATGACATCAGTTTGTTTTCTGTTTCTGCTATTTGTATGGGGACATTCCCTCCCCTAACAACAACAACAACAAATCTGTTTCTAATATCCCATATAAGAACATTGCATAGATCTTCAAGGTCCACATTAGAGCCAGGAAGAATACTAAATGAAAGTGATATGAAGATTGGCCAATGCTAAAAGGAGATGTTAGGGGACCAGGAAAAATATTTACTTTTATACAGATAAAGAAAAAAAATTCCAATAAATATGCTCCAGCTATAAACTTTTTCAGATGACACAGGTAAAAGGCATGATTCATAAATACTCAGGAATTTATGAAAGGGATAAATGGTCCAAAATTATGGGAAAAGTAATTTTCCATGTTTAGTAGGATGAACATAAAGAAGAGACTTTTCTGCTATTAAAGGTAAGCTCAGTAACATGATGCGACACATGCACAGAGCAGCTAAAATAGCAGTGTGCAACAACTCATGCCACGAACTGGGAATGTGCAACTGCATGAACCCCCAGGCTTCTGAATCTGATAGAAATCTCATCACCAGTTTCACCTTTAGGACATGTTTGTCTGGTATGGCAGAAATTCACCTAAGACTTCTTTATTTTGTCTAATCTGATATGTCTTTGGAAGAACGATAGCAGCATAGGCTCCATTTCACAACCAGTGTAAAAGTAATACCCAAGACACTGATATTTCCAATTATTTATTAGGGCACTTTAAAGCGTATAAACTTCATTTCTAGGTGTTTCAAGCCATTAAAAAAAAAAAAAGAAAATGAGGCTTTATGTTTTAGGCAGCATTTCAGTAGATTTTGGTTAAGAATCTTTAGAATGTTACTAGACAGGAAATAAGAGTTTTGCTAGGAAAACAAAGTATTCTCAAAATAAGGCTTCCTTTCTGCAAAGCATGTATGTGTTTGCTTAAGTTTATCATGTGCATTGGCTCACCAGTGTATTTGTTTTTTCAGTTAAGAAATTGAACATGAAAAAAGAAACTCCTGAAAATACATTCCTCTACTTAAACACCAAAACTTCTCTCATTTAAATCTTCCCAATTCTATTTACTCTGTAACATGCAAGTTAGAAACAACTCTAGATCCTGATCTCTGAATGTTTTTTTCATTCTGTTTCAGATTTTACTACCTTAGCAATTAAGGATGAAAAGACTAGGCAAAATCCAGCTTGCTATTAGCTGTTCATCACCATCTATTGCATTATCTTGAACTGAAGGCAGTTTGTAGTAGAGCCTAAAACCAAACTGAGTTTTTATAAAACCTCACTTTGAAATTCCACTATAGTAACAACATCTCCACTTCATATATTTGACAATTTCATTTAATAGCCTCATAATTTCAGAATAGTTACATAATAGTTACATCACGGCTTTTAAAAAGGATTGCACTCAGCTACTTAGTCCACTGAAATACTAGAAAAACAGGGAAAAGGAAAATACGGAGTGTAAAGGAGCCCTGTCCACTGAACTGAGTTGATTGTGGCAAGATCCTACTGAACATGGAGACATCCTCATGCTTTCTGGTAGACTCTAACACACTTGACACCATTCATGTCACATTCCTAGAAAAGAAAGAAATTAATTTATTTACCTCAATGCAGAACATAAAGGAAAAGATCCTTCAGAGTTACTTTGCAGGTTACTGACTAGCAGCACTCAGGGATCAGAAAGTGGGACTGAACTCACCACCACCAATTGTCCATCCACTAGTTTCCGTGTTATTACAGTCTTCTTCCCATCCCATTCCAGACCCATCATCTTTCAGGCTCACAAGGGTCTGAAAAAAGAAGCCAAATGTTAATATTTCATCCATGACATTTGATGAAGACTGAGGCTTTCCAACACCATATTCCAAAGAAAAACCTCCCACCACAGCTCACTCAAAAGTAATCTTGCCATTGACTTCTACAAAGCCAGGATATTATCCTAAATGATTTACTGATCCTCTTCTTACATTAGCTCACTGCTCGTTCACTCACTGCCCTGACACATCCTGCATCAGGCAGACCTTTGGCAGCACACGCAATCCCAGTTAACAAGAGCAGACCATGTTCACTGTTCATCTCTTTGTCCACAGGCTTTGAGCTTTTGTGTAACGTTTATCTGATCTTGCAGTAATGGATGAATTGCCAGTGTGTGGCTGGAGTGGCGGGGAATGCTACACAGAGAGCACTCACGCAAGGCAATGAGACACAAATTTGAGGGCTTCTTTGTATTTAACCTCCTTTTGGATTAATATTCTCCCAACCTGTTGCAGGGAGAAGCTCAATGCCTTGTAAAACTGGAGATGAGGGACTCTGATTCACATTTATGCCTTGTGCGTCTGTTATCCCCCTGCACACCAAGCAGGCTCCCTTGTTATGCAAATACGAGACTGATCGGAAAGGTTAACCCTAAGCCTGAATTGCTTCTGATTAAACATCAATGGGATTTTTTCCACAGGCTTCAAATGAAGTGGCATTTGGCTTCAATGGGGATTTAGAGGTTTGTTAGTTTTACTAACACAATGCCTCTGCTACATATTGAAATCAACAAAATACACAAGACATTATTGGTTTCAGCATTTTCCCCTCTTTGGAAGCTGCTTAATCCAGGGCAAAAACAAAAAGAATTTAGAGACTTACAAAGACAGCTGTTCATCAAATAAAGCTTTGTTAGTATGAATGTCAAACCTGATTTTTACATAGCATCTCTATCTGTAAAACACCCAAATAATTGTGGTTTTTTCAAAGGAAAGTCTAGTATACTGACCTGAGTTTTCCTGCCATCTAATGTATTTTCCTCAAATTTCTCATCAAGCTTGAAGCTGAACTGTGAGGTTTTGAAGGTGCTCTCTGTTTTTACGGTGATCGTGTCCCCATCCTTAATAATGTAAACATCTGGTTTGGCCATGCTTCCCATTTTTCTCATGGCCATACCCACACCTGCAAGGCGAGAGGCACAGAGTGTTACAAAGTCAGTTAAACCCCAAGGCTTAGGGCCACACAGGAATTCAGATACCTAATTCCCATTTAATTAGGCACTTAAGTACACTTGAGAATCAAAGCTCAAGAGCCACAAAGAAAGAGGATGTTTTAAATTATCCACTGATGAGGAAGGGAAAAAAAAGCTTATTTGCAGGGTTATTCTTCTTCTTCCTCAGAGAGCTAAAGTTAAATCCATTTTGTCCTCTAGAGGACTCACAGATGTCCCAAAACTCAGCACTGAATTTTTACAAATGGAAACAAACAAGAAACAGGAAAGCAAACACAAAAGCTTAAACTAATATAAAAGTATTCCCTTCAAGTTCTGAACACTTTAAAAATTCTACAGATTTTTAATTTACAGATTAATCCACCTGCATATTTATTTCAACTTACTTGAGAATTACTCCCATCACTCTGTACACAATTGCAAACATGCAATTTTTAATGTAAGTTCACCTTCTACATCCTGTAGCCAAAGTATTGATTGGCAAACTGGAAAACCAGTGTAATGCAAAACAGTGCTCACAGACAACTTACACCAAAAAAAAAAAGACTGAGAGAAATGAGCTTTGTCAATGAATAAAAATTCATCATCGGAGGACAGCAGCCTTCAAAACTCTTCAGTAAAAAAGATTCACCCTGCCTCAGCCCCTGCACTGAGTGGTTTGCTTGAGCTTTTTTATCTGAAGGGTGAAGATATGAGTAAGAGGGTAGTCAGGCAAAAAAATGTGAATCCAGCAAACTGGAAAGTGCAGTTCTGAACCAGGAATTGCTAAGCAACCAAACAGAGCAAAAAGTGCCACCATCTCAGCGAGTGTCTGGGCCCTGCAGCTGGTGGAGTTAGAAAATGTTGTCAGCACAGCACTCCCCTGGGGTGGGCAGGATACCTGGGTGATGGCTGAGGTCACACAGCAAAGATTACAGTTTCCCTAGGAGGTGGAAACAACAAAGTACTTCCCAGCCACTGCTTCTCCAGACTCAACTGAGATTCCAGGACTGAGCCTTAAGCTTAAGTCTGCAGAGCAAAATCCAGTCCTCCAAACTGGACATCATTGGCACAGTGACCTCCACCCACCCCTTTGCTGTCAGCCAGTCCAGTGTAACCACTGAGTTATCTGATCAGCTACACCATGGGTTCCAACTAAACAGAGATGGGCCACATATGTTTTCCACATGGCAAGGGGTGAAATTCAAACTTCTTTATCCTCAAATGTTTTTACACAGATTGAGCAGAATCTCATTCATGGTACATCAACAGGATCGAAGGCAGAGAGTTTCCTAAGTAATCAGCGGGGATAAGATCCAATACAGGACTGGCTCCTTTAGGTGTGTCTTGAAGTAAATTTAATTACCTAAATTGTAATTGTAAAAAGGAAAAGTGACTGATTTAAGACTGTGAACTGAAAAACAAACAAACAACGCTCAGTTGCTGCCTACACATGGGAGTAGCTCTGCAGTTGCAGCATTTAATTTCTACTTTGAAGTTGCAACTTGGCAGATGCCTAGCCGCGGCTGTTCGACGTGAGCACCGCAGTATCCTAATCCATGGCTGAACTGAGCTTAAAATTCTTGAATTTCCTCCAAAGTCTCCCAAAGAGCTCAGCCCAGAAGGCTTTCTCACATCATAGCTATCACATATTGTCAGGCCTCTCACAAAATCTAACTATGGCCACCACTGTCTGCAGAGTATAAATGCAGTGATGCCTTTTGTATTTTACATGAGGAGCACTAGACCTAAATTCTTTCTTCTCATCCCTCCAAAGACATTCAAGGCCACATCTTCCACCTCTTGCAAAAATATCCCAGCATTCAGCAGTGAATAAATTGCCAAAAATAGTATCACCTGGGCAACACAGACACTGCAAGTTGTCCATCACCCCATCACCTGCTAGCCAGGATGCTTACAGGGCAGTGATAAATCTGACCTTGCAGCAGGGGCTCCTGGTGTTAGGTCTGTTCTCGATTCCCTAACTCTGTGTTACAAAACACAGGGTGACCTTGAAGTGGGGATAGCAAGCCAGGACTACTCCCTCGAAATAAGGGTGCTGCCCACAGGAGAATACAAACAGCCTCTGGCGGTGCCACCAGCAGCCGGTTACCCGTAGGCAGCTGATCCAGTTTGGCTTTCCTCATCAGGAGACACCAGAGGTGACTTCACGGGAAAGCAGCCGGGCTCAGCAGGTCTGTGTGTGGCCACCCCGGGCGGTGTCAGCCCGGCTCGACCCCGGCCTGCGGCCTCCACCATCCGCCTCCCACC